GCGAAGGAGAAGGCAAACTATGAGCGAGCAGAGAAACCGCTCCCAACTCAAGTCAAAACTACGTGCAGCACAGGCATAGCAGGGCCAGTGGCTGATCTGGGGGCCAAACCAGAATTCCCAGCAACGGTGGTGCTGGCAGTACTTCAGCCCTCGCACAGCACTTGCCGTGGAGAGATCTCCAAGCGCTTTGTGAAGATCAGGCTCACCCATCTTCCCCTACCTCCTCGCCAGCCTGGGATAGACCGCAGAGCTGGAAGAGCAGCACATGGACCTTCCCAGACCCACGCTGTAACCCTGCACACAGCCCCAGGCTGGTGCTTGCTTATTTTTACATCTTGGTTTTCAGTAAATAATCCAACCCATGTCAAAAGCAGCAGCAGACACAAGACACGTTCCAGCCAGCCTCACCCAACACTCACCTGGACACGGCACCGGAGCACAGCTACGTGGTCGGACGCTCGCTGCGTGAGGGCAGATATTCCCCTTGCGCTGCAGGTTACAAAGCTGAAGCTGTTGTAAATTCTCCAAGATACAGGTCTGCGTGTGCCCACACAGAGAAATAACAGAAAGACGCTTTCCGCGTGAGGTCTGACAGGAACACTGCAGCATCAGCGCTTCAGGAAAAAAACCCAGCTTGTGCACTGCAATTCACTAAAACCAACCGAAATATGCCACAGCATGCTTCTGAAAGACTTCACGGGGCTGGGAAAACAGCCAATGCACAACATACTCCTAAAAAAGCTCTCTCGCTGTGAGCAGGGCCTTTTCATTCATTTCAGGTTGTCAGTAAATTTGATCAAAGTCTCCTCTGGCACGGGACTGTGTTACAACCAAAGAGCATCTGCCTTTTTTAATCAGTTTTTAAGATTATGAATACAATGAAGTCCAAACCTCACTCTGGAAAGTCAGCGTTTACTCTGAAAGGAAGAGGTTACATTGCGAGTGAAAAGAAAGAAAACGTTAGAAATTCCTAGCAGTAGAAGTTGCAGGATGAACGCAGTTTAGACGCACTTCAGCCACTATTACCACAGCTCATTCCACGCCGTTCTGTGCTTTGCAAGCCACGATACGCCATCCTGTGGTCATCCACATCACCATTAACTCCTCACATCTGGTCCAAAGCACCCAACACAGCTAGATATGCAACTGTGCGTGCCGGTGGTTACACTCATCGTAAGTAATATATACATTATGTTCCTCATTGCTAATGCAAAGCAAAGCCGAAAAAATTTCAGATGCTCTCCAAAAAAATACCTGATAAAGTCCCGGATAAGGGCAAGTTGTAAGATGTGGCTGCGGCATGGCTGGGCTGGCTGTGTACCATCATACCACAACACTTCTTCCTCAGTACAAGCCTTCTGTTGGCAACAAGAATAACCGTGACACTTCACAGCAACACCGTCACTTTGTCCACACCGAGCCTCCAGCCATCGCCTTCCAGATGTGTGACATTCCTCCTCCCTCTCCACTATGGTGCTCTCTCTACAGTCCCGTGACCCACCAGGTCTCCCATGCTCTCCCACTGCGCCCACAGCTTTTTTGGGCATCTTTGTTGCACTCCTACACCCTCAATTCCTCCATTTCCCCTCTCCCCGCATGTTTTGCCCACTAATGTCTAGGACATATTTGACAGAAGCTGGCAATCCCATTCAGTAATTATGCTGTGAAAGACAAGTTGAGCATCCAGCCTTGCTCTGGTTTGCCAACAAATGCAACTGTAACTTTCAAGGCTGATGCAAACTCAGCGTCAAGGGGGCAGGAGGGAAGCTGAGCAAGTCCACGCGAATTCAGCTAGCCTGCTGTACCCCTCCTGGTTGCCCATCTGGCCCACCCTACCCATGCTGCCTCACATTACTCATGCCACTGGGTTTTAATACAGGAGGGGAAAAAATAAAGGGGAAAAAAAAAAGGTAGTGACCAGCAGCAATAACAGTCCTCAAAAGGCAAATGTTTCCTATTACAGTGTTAGTTTTCAAGCTCTTTGATGTCACTTCTCCCACACAAAGCTGTTTCTTTCACAGTCTGTTCTTGCACACGAACAAGATGTTACACGTACTATACGTAGCACATCCTCAACTCTTATTTAAAGCATATTTGTCCTCTGTATCATTTTTCAAACCAATACTCATACATCATAGGCACAGAGGCATTTTTATTCTAGCTCCCCCTTTCACATTTTCTTCCAAATTCTTGGAGGTTCTGGTCATAAGGAGAGAAGTGTTAACACTTAGCTAGGGTTGAGATTGAGCTGTGAAGTTCACGACAGTAGCTGAATTCTTCCAAAATTTTAGGGGCTTGTAGAACAAAGGGTTTACTTTGTCCAATGCCAGATCCAACATTTAGATTCTGGACTAGTTAACCTTAGCTACATTCTTTATTCTACTTTGGCTCACAGTTTTTGGTACCACCTGTTTCCTACCTGTGTATTACAGATCCTAACTTTATCACTCTGAAAAAATTGTTGACCACGCATTGCAGTGATAAACCATTATAGTTCTCTTAACAAATTTAAATTGCAAATTAATTATTTGGGGCAAGGAAAATGTTTTTGTTCTAGCACAATAGGGTTTTCATAATCTGCATTATAAACTACCCCAATACAAATAATAGCCTGGCACTTCTGCCAACTTACTTAACTTTGGTGAAAGTTCAAAAGTGGTGAGGACTGCAACAGAATGCAGATTTCTTTAGGTGATGCAAGGGTTAAACCGGTCAACTTCTGAAATAACAAATGCATGTCATTGTCTCCAAGATTCATCTGACTCATGTTGTTAAACAGGAGTTATTTCTGCATAAACTATATTCAAATGCCTTGCAGAATTAAACCACAATGCATAATTCTTCCAGAAGAGACGCAGTGCATTATCTGAAAAATTATCTGACACATCTAAAAAATAATAAAAAAATTCCAAATTCTGTTTTAACCCAAAATGAGACATGCAAAAGTCCACCAGAAATTCTACCACAGCTATTCAGTAAGACAGTTAACCTACAGCAATTAAAAACAAATAACAGTGTTTGTATGAGAGGTAAAAATCTCATGGCCTTCAGAAATAAGCTACGGGAGACTAAAGGTGTTAGAATTATTGTACATGATGCTTTTTGGACAGAAATGAACTGCTTGACAGCCTGGTGTCACTAGTGGGCCTGTTGAGTCACAGGGGACTGTTACTGCAAACTGTTTATTCAGAGACTGAGACAGGTCATGCCCTCTGTTTGCTGGAGATGAACAAAACTTGAGGTCTTTCAGTAGTAAGTTCTTACTTTACAGTAAGAAGTGTTTGGGGCCAAAAGCACACTGGATTTTGTTGCTGTTGGTAATGATATGCTCAAAAGACTATTGCCTGCATTTTAAAAAAAGAGCCTGGTATCATTAGTTTGCTAAAAATAGGTATTTCTTCCTTCTGTTTTCAAGTTTTATTTCTTCTAAAACCCCACAATCTTTTGTGATCACCAAAGCCAACATGCATTCTTTGTTAATAGCAAGAACCTACCTACTTTGAATTTTCAAACTATGTAATGCAAGAACAAAACAAATTGCTCCAGGTTTAAAAAGAAAACGTTGGCCCTGGCATGCTAACCAGAGGCAAGACTCAAACCCAAGGCCCAGTTAGGCCCCATATCAAAAGGCTTTAAGATCTAAAAGCAAGTAATAAAAAGCAGCTTTAATGCGAAACGGTTTGGACTGAAACAAGAGACTTCCGTTAAGTGCCCAGTACACTAATAAAAAGGATAGCCTTGAGGTACATGTACAAGTTAAAAGTGGGAGTTGTGTGCATTTGTATTGATGGGAATGGCAGCGCCAAGCCAGCAGCCCAGTCCCTGTAACCTGCTTACATGGACACTCTTCATCTCCAGCAGGAAGCAAACCTAGGCTATCATGCTTAAACCAGCTCTGCATCTCATTTACTCCCCCAGAAAACAGACTTGCCCTCAGACAACATCTACTTTTGATTTTAGCCTGATAACAAAGGTCCTAGCCAGAAATTAGATAACCAGCCCTGAAGGAAACCCAACCACTACTCCCTGCCCTCTCCTATGACAGCTAAAACTAAGACAATTGCTACTCTGATTTTGACTGGCAAGCAAAGGTTACACTTTTGGGGGTGGACTGAGCAAAACAGTCCTAGACTTGCCAATAAGGTGCCTTCTCCACTAAGTTTGAACAGCCCAGATCCTCATTAAAGTCTCAGTTGCTTGAAAAAACACATTTTTCATTTGAAAGTGAGTTGGCTAAGCTAGGTTTACATTCACAGCTAAAACTCTATATTCAAAGGAGCTAGTTACTACATCCTTCTCACTGGGTCATCTGGTACCTTCAGTGACCCATCTTACATCAGTCACCAAATTTGCTAAGGATTATTTAACAGATCTCAAGAGAGACTGAAATATTGAATGGTAGGCAAAGTCCCTTTCCACTTACTATGGACAGTTGCCATTTATATAATAGCCTTGGAATACAAGAGGCAGTTTTGTATAGCTCCAAAAATATTTCTTGGCCTTTACTCCAAAAAAGAAAATGAAACAGTCCGATGATTTCATGAAATATTTGAACCCGTATTAATGCAAAGCTTTTTTTATTATGAAGTTACCAGGAAGATTGTATGCAGATGAAATTCCTCCAGGAAAAACAAGTTCTCATCTTTGTTGTCACACAATATATTAGCAGGGTCTACAGATAAGAATGCGAATATTTGCAAAAAAATTATTTCCCAAGTCTAGTCTATTGTGTTTGTGCACCAGAATAGGAGAGTTCCAATTCTGCCCAAGCCTGCTCAAGTTAACCTCTGCATACAGCCCCCAACGTGGTTCTGTCTGGAGAAATGTGCCAAGCTGAAGCCTTACGTTTAAGATGTTTTTTAGCATTTTGAGTTGTTAAAATGAGCACTCTGTTTTTATCCTGACTTTTTATAAAAATCCCACTTTAGTGTTTTTATACAGTATAGCTTTCCTTCTGCATTTCAAGAATGAGTTTTGCAATAAAGTCCGCAGGACTCAGATTTACATCCTCACCCACTGACAGTTTAATTACTTTCATTGTAGGAGAAAGTATTTAATCACATACAGTCAGAAAAACAGCCCCTTAAATACAGGCTTTTGGGCCCATGATCCCCAATTTGAAATTCAATGAAGAAGAATGAAACATGCATACTGTGATCCATTTCCTGATTCAGAACACTTGATATTATCAAAACATAGAGTTCCACAGCTGACACACACATTTTTCTAAATCATTGGTAAAATCCTTCCAGCATTTTAAGACCACGAAATGAGGATTCAGCGTGCTTCGGTTATGCTCTCAAGGCAGTGCTAGTCAATGAGGCGAATAAAGACCAACATCATAATGGTGTGCTAATTAACATATTGAAAATAGTTCATCTAAAATGCTGCTTGAAATACACTAGTATTTGCTGGTATTTTAACTTTCTTCTCAACAGTTACAACATTAAAAGGTAAGTTATCACTGGTGATTCTCAACAACAGATATGCATTAATGATTCCTTATTAAAAAAAAAAAAAAAAAGAGGGGGAGGAAAGACAAATTCTCAGACACTCATCATGGCAATCCAGCACAAAGGTTTGATGAAGTCATAAAAAAACCAGTTAAGTGTGTCAGTAGTTATATACTAAAGCTGACTACCAGCACCAGCTGGCCTTCTTCCCCAAACTGGTACCTAATTCATTACAGACAAGACAGTTAACAGATCCAGTAAATGCAGCTTTTAGTCAGTTTTAGTCATAGAACGCTGTACTAGCCTTTACACTGCAACAAAGACTGATTCTGTAAGCAGCAGCAACTCACATGCGGTTGAGTATCAGCTTATCAGCATTCAAAGTATTAGAAAACTTAGTTTTAAAATGAACAAGTGGCCTTACAGCTCTGCGTGTGAAACAGAACATGGTCCTAGATGGGACCTATTACATTACACAGTGACACTCGTTCTGAAAGAGACACAGTGTGTGTGTGCGCGTTACATATGTATAATATATATTTTATAAAAGAGCAGTGTCTTCTGAAGAGTGGAGAATAGCCAGAACATTAAAAAAAATGCTGTAACAAGAGTGAATATTTGTGCGTTTGCTTTATGAAGCTTACATTCTAATGTTTACAAAGGCCAGCACTTATATAAGACTCTCCACTAACAAACAAATCTGGAATACATCAATTGTACAGGTAAGTCAGCCAAAAATAAGCAATAGCTATGCTCTTCTCAGTTTTAAGAAAGCATGCAATAGGTTTCCCCCTTCTGTTACCCCTTGTTCAGATTTCTAAATCACAGTACCAATAAAAGCAGGGTATAATGAAACTGGAGCACAGGTAACAGGTTGAATTTTATCACAGACTGTTTATCAATATTTTGCAGACGTAAAAGCAGCCCTCCTTTAGCATCAAGAAGGCAGAGAAGATACAAGCATGAATAAAAAAATAATTAAGCAGTTTAAGACATCAAAAATTCAAGAAATAGCACTGTGCATATACAAATAAAATTAACATTCAATACTGTAGAGCTCATTTAAAAATGGCACCAATGGACAATATTTTACAATATGCACATTTATTTGAGGTGGGGAACTAATGCTCCACAGGTGAAAATGAAAATACAAATAATAATGCCACTGCTGGCCCATTATGGAACTTCTTACAATTTAATGGAAACACTTTTTAAAATAATCTGGTATGTACATGTCTTCTGGAAACTCAACAGCTTCTTCAGAACAGAAAAAAAACTATGGTTCTCCCCCTCCCCTTTGTAGCCAGACAGTATTGCCAGAGATTGTGCTCATTTTTAAAGCACATAATCTTACTTTAAATTCAGTGCTATTTTCTTTCAGAAAGATCAGAAGTTGTACTTTTAGGTAACAAAAGCATTTATGTTACAAACATTCAAAAATGGAAGCTTACGATTCTGGCAGACAATGTTGCGTATTAAATACAAACCAGCCAGCAATTACTGAACATAAAAAAACTTATTCAATCATAAAAAAATACTATAATTCATCACCACAGACTTTTTACATAGTTATAAATAATAAATAGCATAACACAGTAGATTACAAACGGATTTATTCTGCCCCGTTAAAGTCTTTCAAAAGTAAAGTATCTATTGTCTTACCTTAGACTAACCAAGGTACTGTATCAAGACTACTCATAGCTCAAATAGAACTCCTTAGCCAAACAATTTGCAGAGCTTGTATTCAATCCAAACTTTTAAGTCTTTCCTTAGAAATCGACTGTTTGCTTAGCCGTTTGCCCTGCTCGTGACCAACAATGGTACGAAGGCTGTACACAGCGGCTGCAAAGGGTATTACATTGGCTGCCATCTCACAGCTGAGTTGGGGCTGCCCACAGCACCTTGCAACGGAGCACACACCTGGGAAAGGAACACTAAGGAAAGCAGCATCGACAAGAAACTCTGGTAAGCACTCTATAAACAAGCTGTACACAGAGGACTTTTCCCACCCACCCCTCTGGTTTACATTCCATAATTTTGTAACAATGTCCCCTAAGGCACAAAAATACCTATGACCTCAATGCCACAGGAGACATCGATGGTGCCATACATGTTTCTCCTACACAGTAGTTTAAATAACTTAGTTATCTGCACTGTATGTCTTAGATCGAGGCATGGATTAATTTTCCTTGGCCAAATCTTGCTGAATATTGACCTTATTTCATACAATCTGTAGGATAAAGGATCTGGGGAGAGAACTATGCAGCTATTTTAATCATGTTCGTAGAGTATTGTTATTTCTTCAGTGATGCCAAAAGTGCCAGTCATTAGTTACCTTGTTGTGGGTTTCTGTCTTCCTTTAATGTAACAGAGTGAGATTCCCACACCTGCTGCGTGGAAATTATTCTGTAATAAAAACGACTAGCAGCACTAAAAAAAGAAAATATTTTTTCCTCCCTTCCATAAGAGATTTGGAGACTAGTGACTGAAAAAAAGCAAGAATAGTTTTACTCAATGGTAGAAGTGCCAGAGAATAAATTAGTATTTTCAAATCCTTCCGAACCAAATTATTTAGCTAGACATATTGATCACAATAATGAGAGAAATATTTTCCTACAAATTGCAACACTAATAGGTAAATACCTATTTTTGGAATCAAAAAGTGTATGCAAGTTCCTGAAAGCAAGAAGTTAGTATAATCTGAGCAGACATCTTGTTTAAAAAATAAATTCGCAAAACCAGACATTAATATGGTCTACAATGTCCATTAAATGGATAAATCAAAAAAAAAACCACTGGAAAGTCGCCAAGGATTACAGTTACAATATTTTTTCCTTTTAATAATCCTCATGTTAACGGTTCAAGGATCAGAGTTTGTTTCTCTGTACCAGTGTACAGTAAGGGAACTGCACAGCTGGACAGACTCAGAACTTAAGTCACTTAGGTGAGAGATCATCCATCAAAATGAATGAAGAGCATGAGTTTGAGCATGTTACTGGAGACTCTGTGGTTATGCTGCCTTTAGTCAGTGAATCAGAGGAAGAGCCAACACTGCTGCTGCTCCCATCAAGAATATCTGAAGACAGGCTGGGGAAAAAGAAAAAAAGGTTATTTAGTAACATGGGCATGAAGACTTTGTGTAACTTTCGCCTTTGTAGAGAAGATGTAGGAGACCTATACTACCACTCAGTCTTTCCTGCAAGACTGGCAGCCCTGAAGACTCCTTGTTTTCTGTAGCATGTTATATATATTCATGCTCCTTATGGGAATGAGGAGCAGAATTATTTTTTTTTTTTAACATGCAGAATAAATTGACTCTGATTTTAATCAGTCATAGAAAGGAGGTGACAACTAATAGGAATAAAATCTTTAAACATTATGGGAAAGGACTAACAGCCTAATCAGCAATGCAGCAAAGATGTCATTAATTAGCTAGTATGTTCTTTAGTGTTGCACTTCTCACAAAGCAAGATTTTGAAACCTATTTTTCCCTTGTAAGGAATTCCTGTGTTAGGATTTTGAAGTCTTGGTACAAGATTCCAGAGGGCATATAAACTGATGCTTTTGCAATTTAGCTGGAAGCAACAGGAAAAAAGTATTTCTATACAGTTTAAAGTCTGTAGGTAAACTGAAATGATACTAATACAGAGTTGATATTTTAGAATACTTAGTATCTGCCTCTTGATGCAAAAAAGAACTCAGCTTTTTATGATGATATAGAAAGGAGACAAACTGTAACACTAAAAATCATGACTATATCAACATGAACTATGTAACTGCAGTAACTGCTCATGCACACATTTTCCAAGTATTCAGGTAAGCACCACAGATACTATATGACCACTTCCCACAACCTAATGAAACCATGAAGCATCTTTGAGGCAGAGTAACTTTGCTTATGAACCAAAAGGGGTTTGTAACAATTATATTCAGTATAAAAGTTCTGATACACAAAATCTAGGCTAGACTGCTCAAAGAATTGATCAAAGAGGCAGAAACATTAACATACTACAGTACCACAAAATTAGTTCCCAGTAATATACATATGCAAGCTACACACGAAGTATTTTCTTTTGGAAAACAAAACAAAACAAGAAAGCTTGTGATAAATGCACATTCCTTGTTTCAGCATTTCAGGGCACATGAAATATTTTACCATGAACTGAGATCTGTCAGATGTGTAACATCTGGAGAAAGCATGTTGGTTGTTCCTTGAAAAAGTCTCTTTGGCTGACTTTCAGTTTCCATTTCACCTAAGGAAAATAGTGCAAATAATCAAACTCACTTGAGTCTCTGGAACGTCCATTTAATATTTGTCTATGGTAAAAGGAGGTCTGTCCCACAATAGAGCAAGGTTGCATTTGTAACAAGTCCTTTAATTCAGCCAACCAAGCACTTGGGCAAGACATTAATTTGATGCTAGCTGTTGTTTAACCATCCAGTCCACCTTAACTGATGGCTTCAGCAGTATCTGAGGAGCTACAACAAAGACATAAAACTAGGCACTTGCTACTTGGACTACAATCAGAGAAAGTAATCTAAAGCAAACTAATTATTGTGACTTGATTTTAAGTAAGCAGTTGAGATGAGTCAACTGACATAAGCCAAAATACAGAGATTAAAATTTTCTGTGATGAAAATAGGAATGCCAGCTTGGTTTGCAGTTTCACCCTCCTGCATACAACAAATTCTGATGCATATGTACACTTCTACAGGAGAAGTGAACAGAAAATTTGGCATGGGTACGTGTTTCCACTTACTCATCATGGATCAGACTATCTTTGTACCTGTAATCATCTACTGACATTAAAAGATTAAACATGATGGCGAGAATTCATATGATCTATTCAGTATAGTCTACCCTGAGAATGAGCTAACTCATTAATAGCTTCTGTACAATAGACACATTTGGAATTATCATAAACTTGCCAATAACCAGCTTAAAAAAAGAAAACCCTCTCACAGCTACAGTATATTTTAATTTTTAGTTTGGCAACAAAAACATATGAAATGGAAACACATTTTCTGGCTTTCTACCTACACTTCATAGCAGTTGTGGTGTCAGTTTGAAAAGCTGACAGAGGTGAAGCATTACAGCAAACCAGTATATATTAATATGTTGTGCAAAAGAATTATACTAGCACTCATTTTATAAAAGACTTACAACCCCCTCAAATTTATTTCCTTTAGCCCACAGGGATGCATTCCCTTCTTCAAAGGGAAGGAATAACAGCTTCTATCAAGCAGAATGGGCAAAAAGCATTTATAAAACATTTATAAAATATTTTGTCTTATACAAAAATGAAGAAAACCCAAACCACCAGCTTAGGTAACTCTTTTATCACTTGGCATTTCACAAAGACAACGCTGCACTGCTATAAAACATCACACAGTCTACCAGTATTAATTCCCTAAGGCAGTGAAATATTCTTCGATATGTTGCTTACTTCCCCCCACCTATCATGGTGTCAATTTGTCCCCATGTCATGTCTGTAGAATATGAACCATACAGCTACGGCTAAAATTCAGAAAATAATAGGGTTATATATTTAGAAAAATAAATTAGGTCCATTTAAATGGATTAGACATTCTAAAATTAAGTAATATTTTCAAAATTCCTTGATATTTCGAGTAAAAAAGGCAAACTCCTATCTCCAGTTTGTAAAATATACTCCATAAGAGCACATGGATAGGGTGAGGAAAGCCTGCCCTTTACCTGCACTGTTTAATACAATCTGCGTAAAGGCTACTGTAAAATGTTTAAAGTAAAACAATGCAGTATGAATACCTATTCCCTATTGATTACTGAGCTTGATGAATTTTTGTTCAATTTTTAATGCCTCTTAAAATTCAAAGAAAATAACAATTTTATCTCCGAGACTGTTATCTATGAGAAAACTTGTCTCTCTCCCCTGTCAATTCAATATAAATCAGACAACACTCTTTGATAAGAGAAGCAGTCCTAAAAAAAAAAAAAAACAAACCAACAAAATAACTTCTCTTGAAAGCTAAATATAAGTCTTGTAAAACAAAAGGAGATGCTTTTGGTGCAGTTAAGGATTCCCAAGTTAAAAAAAAATGCAGAAAGGGTAAGCATAGCTAGAGGCACACTTGTAAATATCTCAGTCATACAGTTCTACTATAAAGACCTGTTCTGGGATGTAATTTGAATATCCTTGACATGGAATATTTCCAGGAAAGAATGCAGTTGTCTCCCTTCAGGAGGAAAGAGCACTGATCTATTCCATTTCTCTGAACACTCACCTTCTGAACTTTCAGAGTAAAAACAAACATTTAGTACTAAGTTTAGAAGATACTGCATGATAAGCAACATTCCTAAAATGATCTGAAGGGTGTGCACCCTACAGTCGTACTCTTAGGAATGTCAGGGCTTACAAATATTCACAAGGTTTAATTTAATGTGTAATAGCTTGCCTCTTTCAAGCAGTAGCTGCTTTTAAAATTTTTCATTCTTGTGTTTTAGACTAGCTACTTTTTAAGTTATGACTGGCAAATTCCAGTTCAGCATGGACACAAGCACATTATATTTACAGAACAACAGAAAAAACAAGGAAGAGAAATGTATCCAGGTGCAAAACTACATCCATATTAAAACAACTGATAATGTAAATGCACATACCTTTTCTTTTAATGGGGCCAAGAACACTGGGCCTGATACAGTTGATTGGACTTTGACTCCTCCTGCTAGAGAAAGAATACTGATACTCAGTCAGGCCTGTACAAGTTCCAGGTCTGACCACCACCATACCTAGCATCAAATCAACACAACCAAATCCCATGAAATGTCCTTTAAAACTACTGCTGCACAACTGGAATGCTTAGGGAATCTAAATACATAGCTAACAAAGAAGTGCTGCCTATAACAGCAAAGTTGTAGTAAATTTTCTAGGGTCTTCTTCCCTTAGCACATCACATACTCATTTGAATCCATTTCTAAGTTGTGTGTAGTATTTAAATGAAATTGATATGCTGAAAAAGTTATTCATTTCAAGTACCCTGGAATTTCCCTACAAGTTATCAAGTATAGTTTAAAGTTGACACAGGCTCCTGTAGGAGCACCCACATAAAGCTACCAGTAGTAAAGGCTGAACTTTCAGAGCATTTTTATGTAGTAATACTTCAGCTATTGGAAAACTATAGTCTCTTTTAATGCCTTAACATCAGCTTTAACTAATCTTTGTGCCAGGCTTGAAAATGCCAATGTATACTTGTTACTTGCAGATAGTACTTACTTGGAGAATCGCCTTGTTGGACTGGGAATAGGACTTGGAGGTAACCCATTACTGCTCACAAACATTTGCAATGATGGTGAAAAACATTGCTGCAGAAAAAGTCACATTAAGGCGCTTCAGAATTTCCTTTTAAATACGCAGGCATTTCACCCCACCCTCCAAACAAAACATTGCCAGTTAAAAAAAAGCTAGTAACAGAGTAAGGCGGAGATGATCAAATGCAATCTTAGAAGCTTTAAATTTAACTTCCAAATTATACTGGCTAATGCAATACTGCTCAGACTAACCTATAATTCAAACCCACAAATCTGAAATTGAAATTAAAATTGTTTTCTAAATTAGACAGTTATTTTTCTTCCTGTTACATTTAGCAGCAGCAGTACAGTATTCTAGACTTACTTCTTTCAAGAGGCTTGTTAAACAAACAAGTCAACTTTACTCAAAATTCATCTGACCTGAAAATGTAACACAATATTCCAGAGTAGAATAGGGTATTTAGCTCTGTGGTTCTGCAGCTAATCTGAGTTTAGCCCATGAATGCCCAGAGCTAAGCACAAAAATGTTTCTGTCAAGTTATCTATTACTGCTTTAGAGTTGTGATTCCAAAGGTACAGGGCCAGCTGTCAGCATCAGTGTTATACCAGGAACATGTTTACCCAGCACTTGTATGTGGCTACTCCATGCATCAATACTGGTAGAGGCATGCAATAAGTAGTAGCAGCACAAAAGCAGAACCACAAGAGTATGAAAGCAAGGTCAAGCAGCCCATCTTTAAACACAGTTGTCACTTTCCCTGCGCTACATTTCACTTTTCCAGTCCTCAGTGGAAAAAGTAGTTTAAGATCCATCCCTTCTCCCTTTATCCAGCATCTGTCATCAGCCTTCAGTGCAAGTTCAGCACATGCGAGGAGTCCTGCAGGACAACAGTGGGTTTATGCCTTCCCTTCCACCACCAAGGGATGTATTTTCATCCTCCCCACCACACAATTTGCAGCTTCTGGTCTTTGCCTACACTCTTACTCTACACGTACAATACATTCCAGTTTTGGTGCTTCCTCCCCAGCATCCCCCCACTTAAGCAGCTGAAGATCATGTCCAAATCTGATTACTCCCATGACTTCTTCCAGATTCCCTAGAACCAGAACCCTAACTCAGCCAAACATCATACAAATAGCAGCAACTGAAAACATTCAGTGTGACAGAACCAGCACCCTGCAGGCTCTCAGATGGTAAGTAACTGATCCTTAGAAACCAATAAAATGTGGGTTTGGGGTTTTTTTTGGTTGTTGTTTGGTTGTGGGTTTTTTAAAACTATGAAACAATCTGTGAAGTTACACGTCTTGGTTGAAAATTCTGAAGCGTTCCCTCAGTTTGGTATTTCACTTATCCTACCTTTCCTATTCCTCTTGTAGGTGAAGGTGCAGGCGAAACTGGAATGAAGTCTATCCTCTTTGGAGAGGAAGACTTCTCAGACTTGTCCAAGTCATTGTCGCTCTGTAAATACAAGGTTTCAGACTTAACACTGGCATGGGATATTAGAATCCAAGGCACAACCTTCTAATGGAAAGTCATTGGGCCAAACATACAAATAGCTGAAGCAGATGAACTCAAGTTCTTCTTAAATTAGTTTCACAAATAATTCCTCTCTTCCCCTTAAATTTGTCAGTTGAGCATAAAAGTAGAAATCAATAGGAAACATCTATAAAGAGATTACCAGGCTCAAGCTTTCCTCCCATGACTGGCTTATCTGCATTGCTGTTTGCACTTCCCTAGAACACAAAAAAAATCTCATCAGTAGCTACAAAGAGGATAACTCTGGCTGCTTCATCATGTTGTTTCTATAACACTCACCTTTCATGTGCTGTTTCTCTGTTCATTAAATCCACTCCTTCCTCCTGCAGGAGATGAACGTCTTAAGTTTTCCCGTAACATTTGATTAATCACAGGGACTTAGAATAGCATTCATGATCCAACAATTTGCCATTAGAATTGAGATCCATACAGTATGACTACTCCAGAAAGAAGAGAACGCTACCAGCCCAGCTCACTGGGGCTTCTCTTGAATGAAACAACACTTCAAAGATGCAAGGTAGTTTAAACATGGCAACAATAAACCTTCCAGGACACTTTCTTGTTGAAATTAAGTCTTTTGAAAAGACTCCACTTCCTCTAGCACTTGAAAAACTCAAGAGTAAAGAAACTCCCTTTAGGTAAGTACTTCAATATTATATAAAACTTTGTGTTCTGTCACAAAATATACAGATAAAAACTACACTTACCCTTCTGATCTGATGAAGTCGGCTACTAGGAATACGAATAGGAGATGATGACAACAACTGAAAAAAAAAAGTGACAGCCACAATGATTAAATCACATATCGACAGCTTGCATACATCCTATTTACCATCACCTACATCCTTAGTGAATTAAAAATGAGCTGTACAACTACGTGTGGATGACTCAATGCTGCAAAATGAAAACACTGACCTTCAAAAGAAAAGACTTGTTTTACTACTTACAAATTCATTCTATCACTCAGCAAGTGGCACAGATCTCAGACTTGCAGGCGGATACTGCTTAGCATCTCAAACACAAACAGCTCCATATGCCATTTAGACAAGTGAGGTGTTAGAAATGAAACAAGTATTATACAATTCCCTACTGCCTAGAGTAAGACGACAAAATCCCGTACTGACTCAGCCAGTTGGCTGTTATAAAGGAGAAGTGTCAATGTTTCAGCTCATTCTTGAGCAATGCTCCCTAAAACTTCACTTTTGCAATTTTTCAATGGCATACAATTTTATGCATCCAATTCCTCTGAAACTCTGGCTATCACCACATAACAAATGGGCCAACAGTTCCCACTCAGGATGCCCATGTGTCTACTGTAACACCTGCTGATTTGAGTTCCAAAACTCTGGATTCTTATTTTTTAAGAAATCTCATAACAAAATAGTATGAACTAAAATTCCATCTCACTTTCTCTGAACAGAACATATAGCAGAAACGTATTTCAGGACTTTTAAGTTCTATGGATTTTGAGAAAAGCAATACTTAATCTTCACTACTCTCAGATAAGAAAGAAAAATGTTAGTGGAAAAGAGCATATGGATCCCTGAATTGACAAGGACAGGGTGGAAAAAAAAGAAATGCCACAACTTCACAAAAGTTAACTAACTGCACGACCGTACACTACCAGACTTATATAATAGCTGGCAGAGTATCATCCAGTAAATAAATTAATCTTCTTTAAATGATTTTCTGATGTCTAGCGTTCAGCCTTTGCAAAAGAGGCGTCCTGCCCCCCCCAAAAAGCTAAAGATTTGCGACTCTCTCTTCCATTTCTACAACAAATTAAAACTCCCTTCAAGACTTTTAATTAGGACATCAGTTTTCTCTTCCAACCCATGGTCAGGTTCAAATTAAGTTTATGACTGTACTTAATAGCGGGAACCATATGTAGCTACTGTCGACTTCTTGGGGACATAGAGTTAATACACCAGTATTATTCCATTGCAGATTGCAATCAAAGATGAAAAAAATGCATATTCTGCAGCCTGGAAGCTTGCTAGGATACCTAGTGCAAATACAAAGCAAGTCTAACTTCATTTTTCCATCCCAATTACTTCTTGTTAGGTGTAAACAAAACATGCTTAAGATTCCTTACCATACTGTGGCGGCTCATAACTGTCGTACTGTTCCTGCGAGTGCGCAACACGTAAGGTTGAAAAACCTGCGAGTTGTCACTGGAGGGAAAAAAAGTTTCGTGAGCAACTTTCTAAGGTGTGTTTTTCTTAAAACCACACAGTGCTACGGTACACACTGCAGCCTCCAGCGCTCTGAAAACATCCATTTTATTTCAACAGAAGCACTACTTCCACGGAAGGAGCCCAGCCAGCGCTTCCCTCCTGCCAACCTGTGGCGACGCGCACGCCGCGGCTCTGCAGCTACAAGTAACTCGCCGCCTGGGCTCCGGTGCCCCGAGCAACAAGCGACACGTTCCGAGGCCGTCGCCACGCACCAGCCACGGCGCAGGGGCGAGTCGGGGGCCTGTGCTAGCCACGGCCAACGGCGGGGCT